ATGATGACAGCCATTAGGTCTGTACTGCTGCTCGTGTTTGACAATTCAGTACTTCTACGTGTGATTACGACTCCTGGCGAACCAGTTTCATAAGGTGTCACGTTAACTACAAATCAGTGTCAAAAAGCTATATAGCATACCCATCAGCCCTATACCTATACACATACAGATACACGTAAATACAATTCGATATGCATGTGTACTATAATACCATCACGTATGCATATAGGTATGATGACGTGTACAAACATATACGATCACGCACGCGCCTGTATCACCGCACTAACTCACCCGTCCTCTCCGCCCTCGGAGCTCCCGGAGCCGTTGCCGTTGCAATGCAGCTGGTTTCCATGGTTACACGCCACCTTTCCTCCAAGTATATGCTTCTTGCTCAGATGCAGGAAGTCATGCAAACGTCCGAAGAGATATACCACCATCTCAAACAGTGCATTCTCCGCTGATTTACGCAACAGCTTGCTGAGACGAGATCTGCACGAGATGCGGAACACGGCCTGAATCATCTCACACACAGCCTCGTCAGTCAACAGGTTGCCTGTGAAAGGGTGCAGTTGCGATGTTAGACACATGTAGTGTTATATGGTACAATATGGGGTCAAATGAAGCATTGTAGCGTAATGAACTAAACTAATGCTATACGGTGTAACGCAGTCGTGGAGAATTATCTCTCACACAGCCTTGTCAGCGAGACAGCTGCATGTGAAGCAGTGTGTATAGTTGCATGTGAAGCAGTGTACATAGTTGCATGTGAAGCAGTGTGCATAGTTTCATGTGAAGCAGTGTGTATAGTTGCATGTGAAGCAGTGTGCATAGTTGCATGTGAAGCAGTGTGTATAGTTGCATGTAAGCAGTGAGTACAGTTACATGCTACTCGTGTGCTTATGCACTCGCATCTCGTGCTGGAAGCCTGTGCACATACAGCATACATATAGGCCCAGATAGGCGCGACAGAAAGCGTCTGTAGCACTTGCAACAACTTTATTAGCAACATCTCATCACAATGCTCACCCATGAACACAGACACGCACGGGAGGATACCCCTTCGGATCACCATTGGGAAATCGGTTCCTGTTGTGTACACGTCGAAGATTAATCCTAATCTGGCAACATTACAAACCTGACATACATGCTACAACGTACCTACACGCTCGCATTTTATGTTGGAAAATCATTCACGCAAAACATACCGATAGGCAGGACAGTAAGCGTTTGAAGCACCTGCAGCAACTTCATCAGCACCACCTCATCGCTATCCACATCTGTGAACACAAATCGGGTATGTGTCACAGCCTCCCCTATCTTCGCCACTCCCTCTGCTTTGCCAGGACATCTTGCTGCGGGGTGATACGGATATACACATAGTAGATGAAATACAAGGTGTATATCGCTCTAGGTACATATATGTATGTTTGTATATATATATATATACATATATGTACATAATATATAAATATATATATATATATATATACATATATGTATGTATGTATGTATATATATATTTATATGTACATATGCGTGTGTGTATGTATATATATGTGTGTGTGTGTGTGTATGTGTGTGTGCGTGTGTGTGCGTGTGTGTGTGAGTATGTATAGATATATATATATGTATACATATATATATATATATATATATATAAATATATAT